CTGAATGACTGAATGCCTTAATGATAGACAAGTCTCTCTAGAAACTTTCCAAGTGTCTTGGATATTTACCAACTTTGAAAATAAAGACTGAGCAGCCCTACCACAGGTTCCCTGAACTCCACACCCTGCCCATAGGGGCCCTTCCACCTGGAATCCCCTTCTCCTACACTTCCGTCCCTACCCACCTTTTCCTGAATAACTTTTCACTCTTTTCCAATTCAGCTGGGAAGCTGAGACCCTGGAGTCCCCCACTTTGGACTGTGTTATAGGGTCACTGGTACCCGCTTGCCTGAAAGCAGGTGTGGCTCTCCCACCCAGATCTTCCTGAACTTGAATAGCTCTGCTCTATACAGGTTTCCTGCATGTGCTCGGCCAGAACTCAGAACTGCCGTCCAGGTTTGAGGGCTTGCAAATGCACAAAGGATATTCAGAATAAGGGTACAATCGAGTGGCAGACGTTGCTTCCAGGCCTCACTCATTTTCAGCGAGGGGTGTCTTCAAGGGACCCACCCCAGACCAGGTCCCTGGGGTGGGGGTGGGTGAGAGACTCTGCTGGTTGGGAAGCTCAGAGCGTGGCTGGGGTCGAGGGAGCCAAGCCAGCACTCGACAGAGAGCTCAGAGTGCCCACTGAGACCACACCACTGCCCCTTCCTCCTCAATCCTTGGCTTCTAAGGGGACCGCAGGGTCAGGCGGGGAGATCCTGTGATCACTGAACGCACTCCCACGTGACAATGGTGGCCCAGCCTCCTTCGCCCAGACTCATTTTGAATAGGACCTCCCTCCTGCATCCCTGCGGAGAAGGCAATGACACCCCACTCCAGTACTCTTGCCTGGGAACTCCCATGGACAGAGGAGCCTGGTAGGCTACAGGCCATTGGGTTGCGAAGCATTGGACACAACTGAGTGACTTCACTTTCATGCACTTCTCACTTTCATGCACTGGAGAAGGAAATGGCAACCCACTCCAGTACTCTTGCCTGGAGAATCCCAAGGACCGGAGCCTGGTGGGCCGCCATCTATGGGGTCGCACAGAGTCGGACAGGACTGCAGTGACTTAGCAGCAGCAGCCTGCGTCCCTGAGAGGAGGGCTCGTTCCCCTCAGCCTTGGACTTTTTCAGGGCTCTGTAACTTGTTGCAGCTCAGATGACATCACTGTGACCAGCCTTTGGGCCCGTTCTCCTAGCAAGGCTCAGGCCTCTTTCCAGCTTCAAGATCTGATGGTGCCAGCATCTCATCTCCATAGTAACGGAGGCCCCCCACAGGCCCAGCAGCGTGTCCTGGGTCACAGTGCAGTGAGTGGTTCCCACCAGCTCCGCCTTGCTGCCTGTCACAAGTCTCGATGTGGTGCTAGTCCTTGGGAGTGGGGCACCATTGCTGAGACTCCCTGGTCTAGGAACCTTCCCAGGGAATGAATGAGGGGGGACCTTGGGGTCTCTGAGAATGGCTGTGACAGCACATCAGCTGGGACAAAGTTGGGACTGCTGCCACCAGCACCGAAGCCTCAACCTTTGCTCTCAAGTAGGCAGCCTGAGTCATGTTCTCCTCCACCTGGACATTCTTCAGACTGATCTGTGCTGTGGTTCCATTTGGTGCCAAGAGGGGGACCTGGGTGCAGCACTAGGTTTTCTACTGCATCTCCTCCCGCAATGCCACGGCCTTCAGGGCACAGAGTTTGGTTGCTCTGAGCTAGAACACAGAGGACAAGCAGCAGGCCTCCTGCAACAGGCACAGGAAAAGATGCTCAATATTGCTAATTATTAGAGAAATGCAAATCAAAACTACAATGAGGTACCACCTCACACCGGTCAGAACAGCCATCATTAAAAAGCCTACAAATAACAAATGCTGGAGAGGGTGTGGAGAAGAGGGAACCCTTCTATACTGCTGGTGAGAGGTAAACTGGTGCAGCCACTATGGAAAACAATATGGAGGCTCCTCAAAAAACTGAAAACAGATTTGCCATATGATACAGCAATCCTGCCCCTGGGCATATACCCAGACAAAACTATAATCCAAAAAGACTCATGCGCGCCAATGTTCACAGCAGTTCTAGTCACAATAGAATAGTCACAAGACATGGAAGCAAACTAAATGTCCGTGTACAGATGAATGGATAAAGAAGATGGTGTGAATGTATCTCTATCTGTAATACTGTGCTGTGCTAAGTCACTCAGTCATGTCCGACTCTTTATGACCCCATGGCCTGTAGCCCACCAGGCTCCTCTGTCCATGGGGATTCTCCAGGCAAGAATATTGGAGTGGGTTCCCATGCCCTCCTCCAGGGTATCTTCCAAACTCAGGGGTCGAGCCCAGATCTCCTGCTACTCAACCATAACAGAGAATGAAATAATGTCATTTGCAGCTACATGGCTGGACCTAGAGATTATCATACTAAGTGAAGTAAGTCAGAAAGAGAGAGACAAATACCACATGATATCACTTCTATGTGGAGTCTAAAATATGACACAAATGAATCTATGAAACAGAAACAGACATGGAGAAGAGGCTTGTGGTTGCCAAGGGGGAGGGGGTAAGGGGGGGGTTGGACTGGGAGTTTGGGACTAGCAGATGCAAACTATTATAAATAGAAAGGATAAACAACTAGGTCCTATTGTACAGCACAGGGAACTATATTCAATATCCTGTGATAAACCATAATGGAAAAGAATTGAAAAAATAAGAAGAGGGCCTCCTGGCAGCTAAGAAAGCCAACTCTTATTCCACTCTTCTTATTCCTGCTAAATGGCAAATTATTCTCGCCCAACCTACCGGCTCCAAACGAACTGCACCAGGCAATAAACAGCTGGTCCTGAGATCAAAGACAAAAAAGAATGACAATTAGGACTGAAACTGCTTTTACTTTTGTTTTCCTTCAAACTGTAACGAGCCTGGGCAACAGGTCTAGATACAAGTATGCCTGTTTTTCAAGATTAGCTTTATGCCAGTTCCACACTACTTTTACAAAAGACCTACCCTAATTAGTACCTCTCTTCCCCAACCAAAAGAAATCTGAAGAGGAAATTCTCTTTACAAAAATCGATGAAAAGCAAAAACTAGTGTTCAGAGGTGTTTTGCGGCAGCCTTTACAGAGTCAGCCCCCACCCCCAGCACCTGGAGTGGCCTCTCCAAGCTCCTTCCCCAGGAACCACACTCAGAATCTCAACGAGCCAGCACGAAGCCACCAGAGCTGTGAACTGTGTCTGTGGACATCTCTGCTTTACCTTGATGTATTCTGAGCATCTGTTAACAAGATGTGTCCTAAGGTAATTTCCTCTTCCCTTTATGCCATTCTGGCTTAGGAGAGGTTTCCCAGGAACGATGCATTTCTGGACAGCAGGAAAAATCGGTACAAGCAGCGAGGCAAGTGGCCTCACCTCCCAGTGCCTCAGCCAGTCCCCACAAAGGTGCCCCAACAGGAGTCTTGGGTGGGAAAAGGAAAGCAGCAGCCACGAACTTGGAGGGAAGTTGGTGAACTTGCCTGGTAAATATCAGGCTGGTTACCCAGGCTCTACCTCCTCCTCAGTTAGGCAAGACTGCATTCTGCTCATCAGGCCTACAAAGGCTCCACCCTGGCCAGCCACATCCTTCCGTCCTTGAGACCCTTGGAAGGAATGAGAGCCGTGTCCTGCATCTCTACACTCCCAGCCCAGCACTGTACCAGGCCCAGAGGAGGCACCAGAAAATGTCTGCTGGTCACATGGGTGGACTGATTGACTTGCTTTCAGTTCCACACCCTTGGGTGGGTGAGTATCTCCCAGGGAAGGTGAACAGAACCCAGAAAGGTTGGACAGACGGTCATGGGGGATGGTTCTCCTCTGCTGCGCCGTTCCTCGGTCTCAAGGATGCAGGGATGGGAGCCTGAGCTTTCTCACAGCTCCAGCCGGCCTTCAGAAGAGGGATGAGGGGGCTCGTGCCTGAGCTGGAGTTACTCCCTGGGCAGGAGCTTCGCAGCAGAGCCAAATGCTGTGACAAGATTAATTCATACATGATTCACTTAACTGCATCAGATTAAACCAATAACAATTCGTTGAGCAACTAGTATGGAGAGACTGTAGAGAGACGGAAATAAAGGGTGGTGTGGTAGACAGGAATGAATGCAAACTCTGCCACTGGCTGGTTAGAGACCTTGGGGTAAAGTCTGTCTTTTGGTCCTAAGCTTCTTCAAAGGTATCCACTATGATTTAAACACTCAATCTCAGCCTTAAGCGACATGAACAATAATTGGCAATAAAAACAAAAACTCACTTGTTCTTCTGTCTGAGATGATCATCATAAGGATCCAGCCAGTGTCCAGGAGCTCAGAGAAGAGCCAGCAGAGAGAGGCCTTGCCTGGCAGCTGTTTTGGGCCCTGAGAATCTGGTTGCCCCGTGTGGCATCGCAAGGGCTCTCCTGAACAGTGGTCAGGCTGGGAAATCGGGGTCGAGGGGCTTGAGGGGAAGCTCTGTTCTCAGGGGTGCAGTAGGCTGTGGGGACAGAAGAAGCAAGGAGGTTACCACCTGTTCCCAACCAGCAGGCCGGGGAAAGTGGTTCTCTTTCTTCTGTCTTGCTCATCTGACAGTGGGATCCATCTGTAGCCTGTGAGTCAGAGAATCAGGCTCATTACTTCTGCTCTATAAAAAGACCTTCTGAACCCTGGTTATTTTCACTGTGCTTTTGCATAGTCAAACAAAAAAGGTCTAAAGACAACTAAACCCACGCTAGTTTTACATGCTAAATGGATGTACTTGATGTACAAAAAGAGCATACTTCTGAGTTCCATGGTACAATGAGCAGTTCAACATCCACCTGGAGAGTCACTGCTGAGAAAAAGAAAAACTCAATAATGTGTAAACTTATTAGCATCATTAGCAAACTTGCCATATCCTAGGCAGCACTGATATAAGACCACAAACAAGAACAAATAAATCACAACCTAACGTCCAAACAACCGACCAACAAAACTAAAAACCAAGAAAGGATCAAAACATAATTTTAACTGAGTTTTCGTGTGGCATCGCAAGGGCTCTCCTGAACAGTGGTCAGGCTGGGAAATCGGGGTCGAGGGGCTTGAGGGGAAGCTCTGTTCTCAGGGGTGCAGTAGGCTGTGGGGACAGAAGAAGCAAGGAGGTTACCACCTGTTCCCAACCAGCAGGCCGGGGAAAGTGGTTCTCTTTCTTCTGTCTTGCTCATCTGACAGTGGGATCCATCTGTAGCCTGTGAGTCAGAGAATCAGGCTCATTACTTCTGCTCTATAAAAAGACCTTCTGAACCCTGGTTATTTTCACTGTGCTTTTGCATAGTCAAACAAAAAAGGTCTAAAGACAACTAAACCCACGCTAGTTTTACATGCTAAATGGATGTACTTGATGTACAAAAAGAGCATACTTCTGAGTTCCATGGTACAATGAGCAGTTCAACATCCACCTGGAGAGTCACTGCTGAGAAAAAGAAAAACTCAATAATGTGTAAACTTATTAGCATCATTAGCAAACTTGCCATATCCTAGGCAGCACTGATATAAGACCACAAACAAGAACAAATAAATCACAACCTAATGTCCAAACAACTGACCAACAAAACTAAAAACCAAGAAAGGATCAAAACATAATTTTAACTGAGTTTGTAGAGCTAATGCACGACAGCTTAACAACATGGTTACAAAATCATGGTTTTTGAAAAATAAGATCTCTGCCAAGAAAAAAAGTATTTCTAATTCTCCGGTTAGGTTTGTGATGGCTACAAATGCAAATAATTTTAGAGAAAGTAAAATCAGAGTTGTCAAAAAGCAAGTCAACACACTTTTCTTATTTTCCTTAATATTGCTAGCTGCACCCTCTCAGGGTTAGGAATGCTGAATTTTTGTTCTAGTTGATGATGTCATGGACAGACCTCTCTCAGAGTGCCTGCTGCACAGATCTGACTGTGTAGCTCATTCACTCATTTCTTACATTTTAGGGAGGCACATTTTGGGGACCACAGTCCAACACTTGGATTGAGCGCTTCCACTGTTATTCTGTACTAGTTACATCATCTTTCTGAGCTCAAGTTCCTGATTCTGTAAAATTATCTGCAAAATTACAAGATGACAGTAGAGTGCCTCGAGGTTAACGTTTACACTCTAAAATTACTTAATTTTATGCCAAATAGAGGTAATGCCAAAATTCTTCTTTAATAAATTAGACACAAGAAAGACCCCATGAACTCTCTTGGGCTACATGACAACTTCTGAACACACACATGAGACTCTAATACCAATACTCAGTGATAAAAATCAAATTGTTAAGATATAGAAACACAACTTACTTACCTACAAAAGTGATAATAATACCCTGGCTATAAAACCTGTGGTACTTTTTATTAACATTAACAAACATAACACGGTAGTTGTATAGAAAAACCTACACTGTTCATGTGGGTTTCTCCTTTACTCTCATACTAACCAACACACTCACCACACTACTGAGACCAGATACATGGGAATTTTCTGCCCATCAAGTCATTCTCAAGCGCTGTTCTCAGTGGCTTTAGTCATGTTCAACTCTTTGCGACCATATGGACTGTAGCTCCCCAGGCTCTGTCCGTGGAATTCTCCAGGCAAGAATACTGGAGTGGGTTGCCATGTCCTCCTCCAGGGGATCTTCCCGACCCAGGGATCAAACCTGGGTCTCCTGCACTGCAGACGGATTTTTCACCACTGAGCCACCAGGAAAGCCCAGCAGTGTCCCACAGTAACTCAAACCTGACACTGTCTACCTGGAGATAGCATCAGATTCCACAGGTTAAGGGCTCAGTCCCGCAAGATTACCCACATCCCACTTCAGACACCAAGTGCAAAGCCAGGCTGTTATCTGCACTTCTGACCAATCGGCTATAAGTCAGAAATTCATATGACCCCCTCCTCGGGTTTCACTAATTTGCTAGAGCAGCTTGCAGACTCAGGGAAACAATTTATTTACTGTTTACCAGTTTATTGTAAAAGGATGTGATAGGGACTTCCCTGGTGGCCCAGTGGTTAAGAATCCTCCTTCCAATGCAGGGGACATGGGGACTTAGATCCCACATGCCTTGGAGCAACTAAGACTTGTGCTGCAAGGAAGCAATAAATAAACAAATATTTTTTTAAAAGGATATGATAAAGGACACAGATGAACATCCAGGTGGAGGAGGTGTGTAGGGAGGTGTGTGGGAAGGTGTGTAGGAAGGTGTGTGGGAAGGGGCGGAGAGTCTATGCCCCTTCCAGGTGCACCATTCTTCCAGCACGGCCACGTGGCTCCCAACCGAGAAGCTCTTCAAACCCCAACCCCCTGGGACTTTGTGGAAGGTTTTCTTCCATAGGGATGATCAATCATTAACTCCACTTGCAGACCCTCTTCCCTCACTGGAGAAGGGGATGGAGCTGCAAATCCTAAGATTCTAATCCTGGCTTGTTGGTCTTTCTGGTGACCAGCCCTCATTCGGGAACCCACCAAGAGTCACCTCATTAGAACAAAGGACACTGTTATTTCACCTCATTAGAACAAAGGACACTGTTATCACCCAGGAACTTCCAAGGGATAGAGGAACCCTGTCAGGACAGGGGCTCAAAGACCAAATACTAGAACAGAAGGTGCTCCCAGTGCTTTGATCACTAGGAAATTGCAAGAGTTTTAGGACCTCTGTGCCAGGAAGTGGGGCAGAGACCTAAATACATATGTTTTTGTATTACCTCACAGTAGCATTAGAGAAACATCAGCAAGTTTTGTCGCTAACAAAGTAATAAAGGCCCACATGACAGCTGTCACTTAGTTCAGTTCAGTGGCTCAGTCGTGTCTGACTCTTTGCGACCCCATTCACTGCTGTACGCCAGGCCTCCCTGTCCATCGCCAGCTCCCAGAGCTTGCTCAAACTCATGTCCATTGCATCAGTGATGCCATCCAACCATCTCATCCTCTGTTGTCCCCTTCTCCTCCCGCCTTCAATCTTTCCCAGCATCAGGGTCTTTTCCAATGAGTCAACTCTTCGCATCAGGTGGCCAAAGTACTGGAGTTTCAGTTTCAGCATCAGTCTTTCCAATGAACACCCAGGACTGATCTCCTTTAGGATGGACTGGTTGGATGTCCTTGCAGTCCAAGGGACTCTCAAGAGTCTTCTTCAACACCACAGTTCAAAAGCANACCAAGGGAACATTTCATGCAAAGATGGGCTCCATAAAGGACAGAAATGGTACGGACCTAACAGAAGCAGAAGAAGACGTGGCGAGAACACACAGAAGGACTGGACAAGAAAGATCTTCATGACCCAGATGACCACGATGATATGATCACTCACCTAGAGCCAGACATCCTGGGATGCAAAGTCAAGTGGGCCTTAGGAAGCATCACTATGAACAAAGTAGTAGAGGTGATGGAATTCCAGTTGAGCTATTTCAAATCCTAAAAGATGATGCTGTAAAGTGCTACACTCAATATGCCAGCAAATTTGGAAAACTCAGCAGTAGCCACAGGACTGGAAAAGGTCAGTTTTCATTCCAATCCCAAAGAAAGGAAATGCCAAAGAATGCTCAAACTACCGCACAACTGCATTCATCTCACATGCTAGTAAAGCAATGCTCATAATCCTCCAAGCTAGGCTTCAACAGTATGTGAAGCAAGAACTTCAGATGTTCAAGCTGGATTTAGAAAAGGCAGAGGAACCAGAAATCAAATTGCCAACATCCGTTGGATCATCGAAAAAGCAAGAGAGTTCCAGAAAAACATCTGCTTCTGCTTTATTGACTACACCAAAGCCTTTGACTCTGTGAACCACAACAAACTGTGGAAAATTCTTAAAGATATGGGAATACCAGACCACCTGACCTGCCTCTTGACAGCTGTCAACTCATTCTAAATTAATTTTTCATGACCCCTAGGTTAATGGTTAATTTAACTGTCTCTGATAAGCACAATATTCTGCTCGTTATAAGGAAAAAAATCCATCAAACTGATTTATAAGTAGATTATAAAAAATTGATATCTGTGAGCTGGTGACTTACTGATGAATAGCAAGTTCATCGACACCATGAGTTTGAGACATTACTTCTGACAGCATGAAAATCATTTTCACTTTACTTTAATATCCTTTTTAGGTAATAGGGCACGACAACCCACTCCAGTATTCTTGTCTAGAGAATCCCCATGGACAGAGGAGCCTGGCGGGCTACAGTCCATGGGGTCACAAAGAGTCAGATTTGACTTAGTGACTAAGCACACAAGTATTACTTTAATAAATAATGTAGTAAAATAATATTTAGGCTTGCAGTGGCCAATTTCCTATTTGGAGAAACTTAGGAAAGGCCTGACAATACTCCATCTAGTGATAATCCTGAGGAAAACTTGCCCATTCATAGGTTTATATTCAGCAAGGGGGATGCCATTTCACCCCCTAGACAGAAATCACAACTTGTTTTAAAACAAAAGCAGAGGGACTTCCCTGGTGGTCCAGTGGTTAGGACTCTGTTCTTCCACTGCAAGGGGCCTGGGATCTACCCCTGGTTGGGGAACTGAGATCCCCAAGCTGGGTGCTATGGCCAAAAGAAAAAAAAAAAAAACAAAAACAAAGAGGATCTGAGGTTTAAGCACACTGGATATACATCTATAATCCCTCTTTTACATGTAAATAATGACATCTGCTGCAGGGATACAGAAGGACATCAGAAATTCCATTCTACAGCTATTTGACTTATAACTCTTCTTATCATTAATCACATCCTGCCAATTATTTGCCTCAGAGCCAAGGACAGAGGAGCTTCCAGGTAGCACTAGTGGTAAAGAGCCCACCTGCCAATGCTGGAGACATAAGAGACGTGGGTTAAATCCCTGGGGTTGAGAAGATCCCTGGAGGACGGCATGGCAACCCACTCCAGTATTCTTGCCTGGAGAATCCCATTAAGCGAGGAGGCTGGTGGCTACAGTTCATGGGGTCACAAAGAGTTGGACACGACTGAAGCGACTTAGCATGCATGCAGGTATGCCCACAAAGGACAAAGAGGGAATCAACACTGCCCATGCTTATAATAAATAATAAAAATTGGATCTGATGCTTATGTACCAGATACCTCCTCAGCCCTTGCTAATTGAACTCTTGCTATCTGGATATTTGCTGCAATATCCTGCAAAAATGTCTACAAAAGGTCTACAAAAAGGTCTACAGGCTATAGTCCCTGAGCTTGCATAGAGTCGGGCATGACTTAGCAACTAAACAAAAACAACATGCAAAAAAGGCCTAAAGATCACAACAGAAATCCTGCTAAAATGAACCCAGGTATCCATGTAAGTGCAAACACTGAAATTATGTGCAAGATATGTATGTACACACACAGACATGTGCCCACAAACATGTACCTGTTTGAATGTATGTACATCTGTACCCCCAGCTCTGTCTGCTGAGAAAGCCCAAGGTGGGAACCTAAGTAGCACTAATTAAACAGATCATGGTTTAAGAGCAGTGCTTGCCCTTCTTTCCTTAAACATCAGGGTAAGGTCCTGATATTTATGTTGTTTCCCCACTTTGCACCACGGGTAGGCTGCTACCAGATTAAAAACTGGAAGCTAAGAAATGCAACCATGAAGCAACCTAGATGTCCATTGGCAGACGAATGGATAAGAAAGCTTGGTACATATACACAGTGGAATATTACTCAGCTATCAAAAAGAATGAATTTGAATCAGTTCTAATGAGGTGGATGAAACTGGAGCCTATTATACAGAGTGAAGTAAGTCAGAAAGAAAAAACACCAATACAGTATACTAACGCATATATATGGAATTTAGAAAGATAGCAACGATGACCCTACATGTGAGACAACAAAAGAGACACAGATGTAAAGAACAGTCTTTTGGACTCTGTGGGAGAAGGCGAGTGTGGGATGATCTGAAAGAATAGCATTGAAACANGGCACTAGGTAAGATTATGACATGTGTTGGGTCGTTTATAATAACGAGTGGCATTATTATCGAAATTGAGCAAGTTGCTTAGGAGTCACATGTCTGACCGGAGCAGAGCCTTAAAAGAGGACCTTCACTTGATTCTTTCCCTTCAGGCTCCCTAAAGAATCACAGAAATTCAAGGCTGGGGGTTTATACTCTGGGTCACTGGGGACCCAAGTGTCTTCTTCTAGGTGGTTTTAATTCTAAAATCCATTAGAATTCACATGAAGAGTAAAAATGAAAATGATCCATTGTATGTTTGTCAGAGTTGTTCTGAAAATCTGAATATAAAAAATTCAGACAATTCAAAAGGTCGTCATCCATGTGGGTATATTGATATGGAAGCAAAGTTGAATTGGAAGTATTTCACACTGACCAGTGTCATATTTTTGTTTGAAAGCAGAGTTCTGTCAAGGGCTTCTCTGGTGGCTCGGCAGTAAAGAATCTGCTTGCCAAGGCAGGAGTTTGATCCCTGGGTCAGGAAGATCTAGAGAAGGAAATGGCAAACCACTCCGGCAGTCTTGCCTGGGAAATCCCATGGACAGAGAAGCCTGGTGGGCTACAGTCCACAGGGTCACAAAGAGTCAGATGTGACTACGCAACTAAACAACAACAGCAATGACCAACATAAAACACTCAAACTGACAAAAATAAACTCTGGAACTTAGATTATCCCAAACAATTTCCTAGGTAATGACCAGGTGTCTTCACCTTACTAGATACACAATAACTAATTCAGAGGCATGAAAATGAAAAATATTTTAAATAATTTAAGAAATAAAACTGATCTTCATTAGGAAGGCTGCATTAACAGAACAGTGTTCATTTCTCAGAAGGGTAAATTCTTACTAAAATCATGGAAGTTTTTCCTGGTTACACTAACCTTTGGAGATGAGTTTCTTTAAGCAGTTCTGCAGAGGAGATTTGCCTTGCTTGGTCTCAGTTTATTAGCGTCAGAAACAGGAGGGGAGTCTGTGACACCTGCAGTCTGAGGAAATGTGCCTTAATGATGCTTCCAGAATCAGAGCACTTCTCACATCCCACTGCCTCTTCCCTGGTCTTTGCCGCCTCCTCTCTCCCCTGCATTATTTCAACCTGGTCGCCTGAAATTTGCCCTTGCCCAAGCTGCACAGCCGCCAGGGTGACTGCCCTAAAATAGAAGCCAGATCAAGTTGCTCTTCTGTTCCAACTCCCCCAGTGCCTCCCAATTTCTCTGAGACAAAAGGCTAGAGTTTTGGGACCTCCCTGGTGGTCCACTGGCTAAGACTCTGTGCTCCCAATGCAAAGGGCCCAAGTTCGAGTCCAGGTCTGGAAACTAGATTCCTTGCGCCACAGCTAAGAGTTCACATGCTGCACATACCACAATGAAGATGGAAGATCCAAATAAATACATTTTTTTTTTTTAAAGCCAGCATTTTTCTCATGGTTCCAAAGCACTCCAGGGTGTGCACTGTACCCTCCTGCCCCCAGGTCTTTTCTCTTTCTGCTCTTTGCACTTACTGCTGCCTTTGCTGGGAACATTCTTTCTCTCCCAGGTTTTCATGTGGCCAACTCTTGACACCAAGTCTTGGCTCTGATGTCACTTCTATGATATGACAGGACCACAGCACATAAATGTAACCTGAACTACTCTGCCCACCTCCTCCCATTACCATCCCCTTCCAAACTGCTCTTTTTTTCTCTTCTTCCACAGGACTTTCCATTCCAAAATACTACATAAACTGACATATTATCATGTATTGTCTCTGTAACCTACTCCCCACCCCCAGTAGAACATAGGCTCCCTGAGAGCAGCAGCTATTTCACTAATGTTCACTAGTATATGCCCAGTTCCTAAAACTGCCTGACCTGTTGTAGGTCCTCAAAATTACTTGATGAAGGAAAGAATAAGTTGTTATTAATAAGCCACTTTATTTTTAAAATTAAAATTATGAATTACACAGAGCACCTCATTCACAAAAAGCCCTGGTTATGTTTTTCTCTTCCTCATCACAATGCAAATATCTTTATTATCCATATTTTAAATAATTTTCCTGGTATCCTCATTTCCTAAACATCCATCACTGGTTATTCCAAAACTCAAGGTCAGCAGCTACTGATGTTTCATACATTTGAGCTAATGCAAATACATAATTTTCACAGACATCACATGGACAATTTGACCTTTTGATTTCACTGTACCTTCAATTTCTTCCATTCTGCTGCAAGTAGAAAGTGTTCATAACAAGATGTTCCTTATGACTTACAAAATTGTTTCTGCCATCGGGTAAGATATTTGATTTTTAAGTGAATGTTCTTGTGATAGTACAAAATGATGCTATAAATAAGAGTTTTGTTTTTGATGCTTTTGTTGTTTTATTTCTTTTTACTTTGCCATGTTTTTCTTCTAATCATTGGTTCTTATGAGATTTGTTCTAGGACAAAAGGCCATTAAAGCAGGTAATAATATTCTAGCATTTGTTTCACAAGAAGATTTATTATTTATTTGCAGATATTCTCCAGAAGCCAAGTTTTACGTCATATTCATGCATACTATTACTTAGCTAATGACTAAACAATATAACTTAATTTCTTCAGTAAAACAGCATAATTAAGAAATGCAAGGAAGTTGCATTTGGGAGGGTATGTGGACATGTTCAGCTCCTGTGGGAGATTCTTGTCTTTTGCAATTTGTCATAAGAAAGAGCAGATCACCTATAGTTCCTACCTCTAAACATTCTTTGGTGCGAGTCACCCCGTAGACAGTTAGAAATTTTTCATCTTAAATGTATTTTGTCCAATAGATTTCCCTTCCTGGCTGTGACTGGCACTGACTCTTTTTCTAAAAGCTATATGTTTCCTGGGCTCATAGTGATACTAGGGTGGTTCTAGAACTAGAATGTCCATTTCCTTAAGTTCTGAATTTTGAAGGGTTCCAAGCCAGGGCTGGGAGAAGAGGCTGTCAGTAGGGTTGGGTTTCTGCATCCATAGTGCAGTTCACACCAGGTTACCAATCAGGTTGCCTAATTGCCTCGCTGAGACACTTCCCACTGTTTTCTTTACTAATCTTTATCTTATGTATTGCACTGACCACAGATTGTCTATGATGTTGTCAACTACAAATTGCACTTCCCATGGGTGCACGCCATTCACCTCTAGAAGGATTAGATCGTGTGCTGCTATTAGATTAGATCAGAGGCTACTGATCTTCGACACCCCCTGAAGGAGCTCAGGGTGGAGAGCAGAAATGAGGCACTCTGTGTTTGAGAAAAACTGGCAGGACAGGTCTTCAGATAGTTAGATATTCTCAGCAGCTGATTTTATGAGCCCAGTTCTTATATCTTATCTCCTCATATCTAAAAAGCACTAAAATCCTTCCTGGTGATGACTGTTCTTGTGACTAGCAAAGGCTTCATGAGACTAGTAGGAAGCTTCTGCAGAAATATACGTTTGATTGCATGTATTCTACCTTCACCAAAAATCATATATACTGACCTTTCCCCCTCTGCCTCTTTGGAGCAGTCTCTCAGAGCTATCTGAGGTGCTATCTCCTGGGCTACTATCCCTTATTTTGCCCCAAACAAAACTTAACTTGCAACTCTCACATTGTGCATTTTTTTTTTAAGGAGACAATGTTCATTTTAATCTGATATAATTAACCTGACATGGCTCCATTTGAGAAGGGGAAGTTTTCTATTTTCTCTGAGCACAGAAATGTCCTAGGTGGGGAAAAGAGCTTTGAATTAAGACCCAAAAGAACGTGAAATGGTGGGTTAACTTATCAACATGACCCTTGATGTTCAGATGTCCGAATTTTGTTTCAGATAATGTTTCCATCGATCCATGAAACCTCACATCGACCCTTGCGATCTGTCCTCCAGGAGTGGATTAGGATGGAGACTGACTTGAAAGGCCGGGCTCAGTGGCTTCTCCGACACCAAGATCATCCAGTTCCACATCCTTCACTTACTGCCCAGAAGCCAGACATGATAACATCTAGTCTCTGTCAGAGGAAGCTTCAGAAGGACTTCAAAATGCAACTAAATGTTCTTCTATGTAACTCTAAATAAGGTGTTATGTTGTGAACTCACTGAATTATAATTCTCAATGCTACTCGAAGACAGTGCTATTAATTAAGCACCAGGTATATGAAATATCTGTTAAGCCAAACTACTGAAATATCCACTGAAATATAAAAAAAAGCCTGGCTTGAGACTCAAAATTTGAAAAATGAAGATCATGACATCTGGTCCCATCACTTCACAGCAAATAGATGGGGAAACAATGGAAACACTGACAGACTTTATTTTCTTGGGCTCCAAAATAACTGCAGATGCTGACTGCAGCCATGAAATTAAAAGATACTTGCTCCTGGGAAGAAAAGCTATGATAAACTTAGACAGCATATTAAAAAGCAAAGACATTACTTTGTCAACAAAGGTCCCATCTAGTCGAAGATATGGCTTTTCCAGTAGTGATGTATAGATGTTGAGAGTTGGACCATAAAGAAAACTGAGCGCCGAAGAATTGATGCTTTTGAACTGTGGTGTTGGAGAAGACTCTTGAGAGTCCCTTGGACTGCAAGGAGATCCAACCAGCCCATCCTAAAGGAGATCAGTCCTGAATATTCATTGGAAGGACTGATGCTGAAGCTGAAGCTCCAATACTTTGGCCACCTGATGCAAAGAATTGACTCATTGGAAAAGACCCTGATGCTGGGAAACATTGAAGGCAGGAGGAGAAGGGGATGAGAGAGGATGAGGTGACTGAATGGCATCACTGACTCGATGGACATGAGTTTGAGCAAGCTCTGGGAGTTGGTGATGGACAGGGAGGCCTGGAATGCTGCAGTCCATGGGGTAGGAAAGAGTCAGACACGACTGAATGAGCAACTGAACTGAACAGAGGGAGGTCTGGCATGTTGCAGTCGGTGAAACTGCAGAGTCAGACACGACTGGGCGACTGAACAACAATGTTAACTTTAGATGGATGATCCTCACACTGCCTAGAATTGGGATTTAATCTCAAACACCTATCTCCCATAAGTCATCATATAAAACAAATACATAGTGCTTTGCATTTTAGTATTTAAGTATCCATATGTTGTATGCCATTTTGAAAATTAAAATTGTCCAAAGTTCAATGACTTACCATGACTACTGTACTATATCACTAAACTTTTCTCACTTTTTAGAAAAGTTTGTATATTATATTAATATACAGCCCTATTTTAAGAACACAATCTAAGAATGGCTATTCTTAGTGAGACATTACAGAAAGTTCTGTTATAATTTGTGAAAAAAATTAAATTACAATGCTATATAGCAGCTGACAGTCAATCCGTTGTCCCATTAACTGAGATAGCTCAAGAGGACTCTGGTTTCCTACACCCCCACAACCAGTACTCCCCAAATTATTCATATACTGGCATATACAGAGAGGGACAGAGAAAGTGGAAGGGTCTGCTCACACCTGAGATAAATGACCCCAGAGACTATGGCCATCTGAAGTCTCCGCTGGTAGTCCCAAGGACTCAAGGGAGTCAGTAATTTGGCTCATCAGTGATCTCTGCTATGTATGCCATACCAAATAGAAACCTTGCCATGTACCTAAAATTTAGGACGAAATTAAACAAATGTTTGAAGAGACACGAAACATTATTTATTAGTCACTAGTTCAGTCGTGTTGCTCAGTCGTGTCTGACTCTTTGTGACCCCATGGACTGCAGCATTCCAGGCCTCCCTGTCCATCACCAACTCCCAGAGCTTTCCCAAACTCATGTCCATCGAGTCACTGATGCCATCCAACCATCTCATCCTCTCTCATCCCCTTCTCCTCCTGCCTTCGATCTTTGCCAATATCAGGATCTTTTCAAATGAGTCAGTTCCTTTCATCAGGTGGCCAAAGTGTTGGAGCTTCAGCTTTAGCATCAGTCCTTCCAATGAATATTCAGGACTGATTTCCTTTAGGATTAACTGGTTTGATCTCCTTGCAGTCCAAGGGACTCTCAAAAGTCTTCTCCAACACCACAGTTCAAAAGCATCAATTCTTTAGCACCCAGTTTTCTTTACGGTCCAACTCTCACATATGTATATAACTACTGGAAAAACCATAGCTTTGACTAGATGGGACCTTTGTTGGCAAAGTAATGTCTCTGCTTTTTAATATGCTGGCTAGATTTGTCACAGCTTTTCTTCCAAGGAGCAAGTATCTTAATTTCATGGCTGTAGTCAGCATCTGGAGTTATTTTGGAGCCCAAGAAAATAAAGTCTGTCAGTGTTTCCATTGTTTCCCCATCTATTTGCCATGAAGCGATGGGACCGTATGCCACGATCTTAATTTTTTGAATGTTGAATTAATTGGTCACTAAGCAAATGCAAATCAAAATCACAATAAAGTACCTCTTCACAACCACTAGAGTGGCTAGTAATGTATAAGGGTTCAGCCACTGTGGAAACAGTTTGATAGTTCCTCAAAGAGTTAAACATGGAATTACCATATAACTTCACAATTCCACATCTGGGTATATACCCAAAATAACTGAAAACATGTGCTCAAACAAGAACATGTACACACATGTAAATAGTGTACACATTATTTACAAAAGCCAAAAGGTAGAAACAACCCAAAGGCCAATTAACAGGCTAAAAAACAATTTGTGGTGTATGCACTCCTGGTCCTTGTTAGTGCTCAGTCGTCTCCAACTTTCTGTGACCCCATGGACTATACAGTCCACGAGGCTCCTCTGTCCACGGAATTTTCTAGGCAAGAATACTGGAGCAGGTTGCCATTTCCTCCTCCATGGGATCTTCCCAGCCCAGGGACTGAATCTGCGTCTCTTACGTCTCCTGCATTGGCTGGCGGATACTTTACCAACGCACCACCTGGGAAGCCCAGGTATACACATTAAGTGGGTATTATTCAGCTCTTGAAAGGAATGAAGTACCAATGTATGCTATTCTTCCAAAGCATTATGCTAAGTTAAAGTAGCCAGACATAAAATATCACATATTGTATCATTCCACTTAGAAGAAATATCCAGAATAAATAAATCCATAACCACAGAATACAGATTAGTGGGTGCCAAAAGCTGGGAGGAATGGGGAGAAATGGCTTAATGGATAAAGATTTCACTTTGGAAAGATGGAAATGTTTTGGAACTAGAAAGAGGTGGTGTTTGCACAATATTGTGAAAGTACTGAATGCTAATGAATTGTTCACCTTTAATTGATTTATGTTATGTGAATTTCACCTGTCATTTTTTTTTAATTACACAAGTCAAGTATAAGTGGATAATTTTAAAATTCTCCAATGTATTTCATCGATATGGGTGGTAAGACCAATGATTTAGGTGCAAATTTTAAAGTTCACCATATGGTACAGAATGTTTTTTCCCCATTAGGCAGAAAAATTGTGCCAAGAAAATAAATGGTTTGTTCCATTTCAGTGGAGCACTCTTCACACCAGCTATTTTAAACAAGAAAAATAGGTCGATTTATTGGGTTATGCTGACAAAGGAGGAAAAGAAGGAAAGTTGTGGAATAAGAGAATCACACATTCTCATGGAAGTCTGTTGCTAAGTTGTGTTCGACCCTTAGAGACCCTATGGACTCTTAGAGCCTGCCAGGCTCCTCTGTCTACTTATTTTCCTACTTTTCCCTAAATTAGAGTATGTTCATGATCTCTGCATTTGTTGTTCATGGGGATGGAAATGCTGGAAATGAATGGGACATTAGAGATCTCTCCTGACCACGGTTTGACTATAGCCAGGCTCCACTTTAAATTACTTGCTTCATAGAGAAATGAATACTACTTGTGTCATTTGAACTCCTTTGAACCAAACATACTAAAC